ATATCGATTATACTCTTATTCGATATCCAAACTTTAATATAAAATGAAATTTCAACTATTTTTTCGTAAGCCGGCAACCTTAAATTTCATCCATAAAAAATAATGTTGTAGCCAATATCCCATCTCTTGATGTAGATGAGTATCATTAGATCAGTTTAAGCGAAAATTCCATGTAATTTATTTTGTTGTATGATAACCATACCAATTATGATAACCATTACTATACATCGTTAAGAGAAATGTAATAGGCTGTATTAGACTCCTTTGTATAGAGATTACTTAGTAACCTCGTTCATTCAGATCGTTTCACCGGTTTATAAAAATCATAAATTCCATTTGGTACTAAAAAATTTTTAAATTTATGTATTAAATTTCTAAACCCTACTATGTAATCTATACATATTTGATGTGACGTTATCATGCATATCACTAAGTAACCCCACTCTTTACATTCCAACTAAAGAACGGTTAGACGTATAAAAAATTTTTTTAAATCAAATTCATGGGGAATTTAATATTATACAACTTATATAATGACGCGATTTTAAAAATAATCCGATTTTTATGACCTTAGCTCTGGAATATATTGGCTCGATACCAATGCTTGAGCCTATTAGCAAATTGCTTTGATGTCCAAAGTATACTTGGATATCAAATTACTCGAAGGTTCAAAAAGTCGAATAATATATGAAGCACGAGTTCGTACATATTTATATAAATAATTTTAGTGACCATTAATATGGCTACGGAACCCTATTCTATTAACGCACTATACAATTCGTTTGATTGTTTTGTTTATATCGCACTCCCTTTTTTAATTTGAGTCTCAAACTAAATTGCATTAATTCTTTCGTAAACTTTATCTGAACAACTTTTATTCCATTTACAACTTTTATTGAGTTAAGACGTGTTTCGGACTTCAGTGCTACGCGACGGTGCAACTTAATTTTATTTTTCAAAAATTTTGAGTTCTTGTTATTCGAAACTCTACACCAAGAAAATAAAAAAAAAATCAGTGTAAGAATGTAGTCAAAACAACATTTATCTGTGAAATATTATCAAGACAAAATTAGGTCATTCATGAGTTGCATATTACTTATTAAAAAGTCAACGTACGGAAAGTAAACAAAAAATCAAGATATTTCGTTATAAAAATAATCATTTTTATTAAAAAAAAAATCACAAAAAAAAATGCACTTAGAAATAATAAATAATATATGGTGTTTAATTATGTTTTTTACTATAGGAACACATGAGAGATATTATCGAATAATTTAAAAATTTCCAAAACTTAAGAAAAAATATTTATGTATGTATTTTAATAATTTTGCAATTGATGTGAGAGATAAAAAATATTTTTAAATCTTTTAGAAAAAAAAAAATTTAATAGAAAATAATTTTATTAATAAATTAGGACTACGTGTGATGTTAATAAAAATAAATTACTTTTGAAAAATAGTAAAACATTTTAATATTATCAAAATTGAATTTATAGAAAAAAAATGTGCATTTGTATAAAAAAAATAATACATTATAATTATTTATAAAATAAAATAGTAAACAATAAATATTTTGACCATTTCAAAGATAAACTAGCGGATATGACAGCTATTTGTAAATGCTTCAAAAAAATATTTTTAAATTTATCCAATATGATTTGATGCAAAATTTTGGTAATAATGATAATCACTTATCATTATTTTTCTAGTTTTCAAGGATGATCATCAAGTCATTCCAGTTGTTTTCCATTTTTTCAGCAATCCACTCATGTGATAATTAACACTCGGCAATTAACTTGCACTATTCTCTCTGGTAATAACACAAGAAGAAAAAGAAACTTCTTCTTCTTGATGATGGATTCGACAAAACTGGGCTCAATATGTGATATCCGCTTACTATGCGGCTCTATTCTCTCTTTTAACAGATAAAGGAAGAGTTTCTAGCTCTTATTCGTGATAGATTCGAGACAACGCGGAACAATATGTGAATAGACAATGTGGAACTGAAGAATATGATGGATCTTTTCTGTTTCTTTTCTGTTACAATTTTAGTGTGTTTGTAATCAAATTGCCACTGATGACATTTAAATGTCGCTTACTAGCTTTTCTCCGACATTCTATCTATAACAAATCCTGTTATTTTTAATTTTTCAGTTTTTAAGTCTGATTATATCCCATCAAAAACATTATATTACTTTTCATTATATACTAGATGTGTTTCAGCATTCCTTTTGAGTGAAACGCTAAACTTCTTTCTTTTCTTGTTTCTAAAGAGAAGTCACAAAAAAGGAATAACTTAAGAGTTTTATGGGAAATCTGATGTAGGAAAATCGTTATCATTTATTGATGAACTTAACTTTAATCATATAGACTTCATTAAATCAGAACAGCTTGGTCGTGAGCTCGGACAATATCAAAAAAATGCAGAAATGCCGATAAATGAGAACCTGTAATCTGGAACAACTAATATTAAAGAAATAAAAAATTAAATAAAAAAAATTGTGGCATCAGTATTTTGAAATGTACATAGAATAATATTCATCCTTGAGGTACCTTGAGGGATTATTCATCAAAATTAAATACAATATAATGAAATATTATTGGTATATTTGAATTATTATATCACAAAAAAAAACAATAGTTTCAAATAGTAGAAAACACTATTCTGCCAACAAAGTTCATATATTCACATCACACAAATTGATCTGTCCACCCAACATTTTCTTTAAATCTGGCGCCTAGTGTGTGTTCCATTTTAGCGAACCTCAGAAAGATACTCCGAGCAAAAGATTTGAATGAAATACAGAAGTGTTTGTTAAGAATTAGAATAAGAAAAAGTAAGATTAATAATTATTAATCTGTAAGAAAAAAATACCCAAAATATATTGTTCTAGAAAAGGAATTCGTTTTAAATACTAAATACTATATACTACTATATACTATATATAAGCATTTAAATTCTTATTGAGGGCGAAGGACCCAGTAGTTTAGTTCCTTATTCTTAATTAACTTTAAAATTAATTTTATTGTTAACTCACAAATAAATAAATAAATTCTCATTGAAATATAAAAGTGTATAGTGTTAAAGAATTATCACTGAATAACATAAATTATATGTTCACTACATTTTAATAACATTTCCTTAACTTTTATTTACACAGATGCCCTTTTCAAGTTATTTCGCAGCGAATGTGCCATACGAGCAAGTTGAAAAACTGACCACATCAACCGGTTGCTCTTATATCTATTCATCCTCACAACCATCGGTCCCGATTGTGGGTGATTGGAGAACTCGTTACTGTACACTAGACAATAGTTTTCAGGATGTTTTAGAGCGTGTTCATAGCTTCGAAATACGCAAAGAGGATGTTTGGATTGTGACAAGTACTAAATGTGGCACTACTTGGACTCAGGAAATGACTTGGCTAATTTTAAATAATTATGATTTCGAAAAGGCAAAAGAAATTGATCTCACAATACGATCACCATTCTTAGAGTAGGTATAGCTATAGGTAAGACTATTGTTATTAATTATATATGTATATTACAGATTCAATGGAGTTGTGCCAAATGTACCACATGATACAATTGATGCTGCAGATAAATTAGACTCTCCGCGTTTGATAAAATCACATTTACCTGTGATGTTACTACCCAAGCAAATTTGGACGAAAAAACCAAAGGTTCAATAAACTTTAATATAAACATTAATCTCAACCAATCCAATGGTTATATATTACTTTTCTAGATTATTTATGTTTTTCGAAATCCTAAGGATGCAGCTATATCTTATTATCATCACTGGCGTGGTATGGTTGGTTATACAGGCACAAAAGAAGATTTTATGCAATTATATATGGATGGATATGTTAATTTCAATCCATTTTGGCCACATGTTTTGGACTTTTGGCAAATGCGACATGAACCAAATGTATTCTTTACCAGTTATGAACGCATGAAGAAAAATTTATCAAGTGTTATAAAAGATATTTGTCATTTCTTAGAGAAAGATATAACAGAAAAGGAACTTACACAACTTGTCGATCATTTATCCTTTGACAAAATGAAAGATAATCCAGCATGTAATCATGTTAAGGAATTTGAAAGTATGAAAGCTGCTGCTGGTAGAGAAGTTGAAGAATTTAGGTAATATAATTTGCTTTATTAATAATAGTGTTTGAAATATATTATTACAAAATATAATTTGTTTAACTTATGATATTTATATATAATATTATAGATTTGTACGTCGCGGTATCGTTGGTAGTCATAAGGATGAACTACCCTCCTCAGTAATTCAAGAATTTGATGATTGGACTGAAGATAATTTAAGGCCATATAATTTGACTGTCGAAGATATTATTAATTATTCAAAATATTAATATTGGTTAAAGGTTTATTTACATATTAAGGATAAATATGTTAATGCAATCAAATATTTATTATAAGACTATGTATTTTTATCGATCAGTAATTGCAACAACAAAAATATTTTATTATGTTTAATTAATTTAAGTTTTTATGTTTAAAAAATATAATATAACGCAAAATTAATTATTATTTTTTGAGTCATATTTTTTGAGACGTATATACTCGTATGTAAGGTATGGATAATGGTAAGGAAGTTGTTAGAATGATAACTTATTGTTTTTTTATAAAAAATAAATATATAATAGAATTTGAATCTAGATTAAGATTATCCCGAATACATTAAAATACTGCACAAAATATTTTGTGGAAACTTTTTCAACTACAATCTGGTGGCTTATTCTCTAAAAATATGTTTATAGAGTTGTTACTACTTCTAAAACAAAGATAACTACTACTAAAACACAACAATGGTAATTGCGATGCGATTAGTATGATTTGATAATGTTATCTGTTAGTATAATTTTTATATTTATTATTCAAATGCCTGAGAATAAAATAAGTCTCAGTTGGCATTTTTTACTTATAAAAAACCTAATGAAATACCGAAAATAGTTCAGTAGTCACCAAACCATTGTTTATTTAACAAGAAATCAGGTCTGTAAAGCAAAAATAAAAAAAAAATTATTGAAACACAAATCTAAAATGGAGCGAGCTAAGGTTATCCCAAAAAGTTATCCATCCAATGTATTAAATAAAAATTGGAATCAGAGACCGTGTTACTTTAAAAAGAATAGTGAGAAATTTCTGAAAGCCGTCAATGAAATGGAAGTCAGAGACGATGATGTCTGGTTAATTACATTACCCAAATGTGGTACCACTTGGATGCAGGAGCTGGTATGGTTGGTTTTAAATAATTTTGACTTCGAGAGTGCAAAACAAGAACATTTGGAGTTGAGATCACGATTTTTAGAGTAAATATTCAAAATTAATATATATATATTATTTATTATGTTGGGCGAAAAGTATTAGGAGATTTTTCTGTTGTCGCAAAATTTAAATGTGATGACTTTAAAAGGATTAGTTACAGCAAGTGGTTTTTATTTTTTGTTTGCCAGATGATTGATTTCATCTGAAAATGCCAAATACTTTTTGCCCAGCCCTGCATATTGATAATTTACTTTTATATTTTTTATTTAATGGTAAAGACATTGATTTCATATATATTTCTTTGTTTATTTATCACTTCACAATTAGATTCGATGAAGTATTATATGATGGTGAAGGCAGTATAATAAAATATAGTACAGAAATGAAATCTCCACGACTTGTAAAGTCACATTTACCACTACCTTTACTACCATCACAACTTTGGACTAAAAAACCTAAAGTAATTTATTCAATTTGAATACTCATTAACAATAATATTGTATTTATATGTATTTTTTAGGTTATATACGTTTTCCGAAACCCTAAAGACGCCATTGTTTCATTTTATTATCATTTACGTAACTATCAAATAACTTCCTTCTTAAATCCAACAGATTATGCTCAAGATTTTATCAATGAAGATATGTTAACTCATCAACACTTCTTACATGTCGCTGAGTTCTATGCTTTGAGAGAGGAACCCTGGATTTATTACACAAGTTATGAGTGCATGAAGTCTGATCTAAGATCTGTCATACAAGATGTTTGCAAATTTCTGAATAAAAATATTACTGAAGCTCAAATGCAGCAAATGTTACATCATTTATCTTTCGAAGAGATGAAAAGTACGTTGCACTGATAAAGTTTTTATTAGTCATTCTCATTACAAATTTTAGTTTATAAAAATTCTATTCAAATATTTTTCTCAAAAGCAAAAGGTGCATAGTTACCATTTACCATAGTTATCTTTATTTAATAATACAGTTTACACAGATATATAATAATATTAATAAAATTTAATATATATATATGTATAACTATTTACAGATAATTCAAAAACAAACCATATATGGGCAGCGCAACAATTCTCTAGAAAATTTAATAAAGAGATTGGAGATTTGAGGTAAGCATAAAGTCAATTGTGGCGCTAGAATGCTAAGATTTCATCCACATTACAAATTCATTAAATACTAATGATATAGTGCATTTTATTTAGTCATATTTTCAAATTTGTAATCGGATATAAATTAAGTTTAATTATAAGCTTATATACACTAATACTCTGTAGTTATTAAACATAAGTTTTCCGATATCTAATGAACAAATCACACAAATACCAAAACCTTTATTCTATTATGTTAAAAATGAGAGACTGACTTATTGACTGACATCTAGATAGGTACACAAAATCTTATGGCTTAAACGCAGTCCCAGTGATTAAATTAATATCTTTAGACAATTGCTTATTGACCATATCTGCTTTAAGTTTAAGCTCTATGAAATCCTTCCCAAACTGTATTCATATAGCTAAGACTACCTGATATAGTACAACCGAAGATCACAAGATCAGAAGGTGAGCACATCGCGTGAAAAATTGTTTTTAGGTAACAGTTTTGCAAAGTATATTATGATGTAACTCAAAACTAGAACGTTTGAAAAAAGTTGAAAGAGAAACTAACCAACCGATAGACACAAACAAACTTAATTAACAATCAATGATAATGATGATCCCGCGAAGTAATACCTATAACAGCTTGGTACCTAGAGGTGAATCAGCATCCGCACTAATAAGATATTATCACCTTAAAGTTATATACTTATCTTGTGCTTTCGATACTTTACTACTCATTTAAAAAAAAGAGAGAAAAAATAAATAGAAGTACCTCCATACAGATAGATAAACCGATTGAAGCACTGATGAAAACACAGAGAAATATACAAACAAATAGAAAAGAGGATGTGGTCAGACATATACTCAAACAAAAGATAGAAAAAAGTCATAAAGACGCATATTACTAAATTAATCCATTTTCTTGTACACATCATGAACCCATAGGATTTTTTAAACGTTACCCAGTTAACCCTTATTCTGTAAATGGTGTTATAATATGTTTATTTTATTAAACAACTTTTTTTTAGATTCATCCGTAAAGGGAAAGTTGGAGGTTATAAGGACGATTTGACTGCTGAAGACATAAATAAAATTGATGATTGGATGAATAGTGAACTTAAGTCACACAATCTAATTTTGAATGATTTGCTACTTCAGAATAATTAAAAAAAAAAAAAATTAATGAAATAATAATTAATTATATAGTAATAAATAAGGTTTTACAATACAATATCGTAGTGTACTGCTCATGTCTGAAATACATCAAAAAAATTCTATAGTTTGTGTTCGCGATCACAAACACAAACAGTACACTAAAAATGAAATCGACATATCCGAAACACTAAAATAGTGACTACTTCCGATATTTCCTGTAAAAAAAATTTTTTTCTCAAATATAATATACATAAGGGCAATATGACAAAATGTGATTTTTGCTACTATTTAATGAATAGTATTATTTAAAAAATAATAATATATAATTCTTTGTTTCAAAAACTACACTTTTTAACACGAATTAATTATAAGATGTATATAATTTATTAAATGTAATGTATGGTTTAAAAATGATATTAGTGATCAAAGTGTTAGTGATCTCTAGGTATTTTTTATTGTTTATATATACTGTAGTCGTAGTCTACATATATACATATTTCTTTTTATCACACATTAAATCAATCTTCAACTTCATTTTCTATAATAACTAAGTTAGATATACATAATGTTGTCATTATTGAGGAATAATTTTACCAGTGGGCAACTTTCTAATTTTGAGCAAGCTACGTCGATCAGTTGGTGTTTGATAGCCGTTCAAAGCAGAAAACCTCGTGAATTTTTACGAAAATGGAAAAAAGTGAATATCGTGTGCTGATTAAGCATTACTGGCCAAAATCCACGAATTGGGATATGAACCCTATCCAACATATTCTCCAGATTTAGCCCCCTGCGACTATTTTTTGTTTCCAAACCTAAAGAAATGGCTGGGCGGTAAGAGATTTGAGTCGAATGAAGGAGTCATTACCGAAACAAACGCGTATTTTGAGAGCTTTGAGAAAACCTATTATTTGGAAGGATTAAGAAAATTAGAAATACGCTGGACTAAATGTATCGAGCTAAAAGGTGATTGTGTAGAAAAATAAAATGTTTATTTGCCATAAAAAATTTGTTTTATTCAAAAAGTCACTGACTTATCAAATCGCCCTCGTATATCTTTCACTTAGTAATTTAAAGTTTCTCATCTACAATATATTTGAGAAACTGTTAGCAAGTCTGGACAAATCAAATAAATTAACATATCAGTTTGGGTATAAATAATTTATAGTATATCGGAACTATATCATCTAATAGTCAACATAATTATTGAAGCTTTTAAAATTTAAAAGTATCGTTTAATTGTCCATCTAATCCAAGTATCGTTTAATTGTTCAAAAGAGTTTTAAGAAAGTGTGACACCAAGGTGCGTTGTTTAAGATAAGGTCACACTATAGTAATAGATGCCTATATATCAAATAGCAAGTTACTGCATTGAATCCCATTGTGCAATATATGGGAGTTTACTGTACAGGGACTTATTTTTTACAATACCTTATAAGCGGATTAACTTTTTCTGGCTCCACCTTTTATTGCCACCTACAAATATGAGGCTGCATTTATCGGATGAAGCGAACTATCAGTAGAAATCTCTCAATCTGTCACAATGGAATTAAACTTGGTATTTACTTTAATCATAGATTGATGTGGAGTATACCTAAATATGGTAGCTAAAAAAATTGCATTGTTCGCTTAAATGATTTAGTTAATTTAAAGAGTGAAATAAATAGGTTTTAGAACACAAAGCAGTTTTGAAATATTGAAGTGGTTCCAGTCAATCCCACTACAAATGATATCAATGTTACTGGATTTGAAATTAATAGTCAATAAAATAAAACGAATAAGTTGCAGATACTTTTAGATTGGAATCTTAAAAAAAATTTTTCTATTCGTCAGCACTAAAACAACAAAATAGTCGAGAAGAAATCATATTTTAGGCCTATAGAACCTAAACAAAGGTTCGCTCTTATCAAAGCGTTGTGTAATTGTTAACTTCCATATCTTCTCAGTTTCAACAAATTTTATATATATTATATTAAGATTGTATAGATGGGTAGTAATAAGATCTTAAACTATAAATATAAGCTAAGAATCGTATTACTGCAAAATCTTTTTCTTATCAGTTTTACAAGTTTGTTTATATGATATTGTGATAAGATAAATAGGTGGTGGTAAGATTTATTATGATAACTATACAAAAGATTAATTGTTTCTGTTATATAAATCAACGAGTTCATAATATCTAGATATTGCTTACAATGATATATTCCAAATGAAACTACATTAACAATAAGCATGTTACTGAATTTTAATCCAGTTAAACCTGAATATAATAAAATACAGTACAAAATATTTTGCCAAAACGTCCTCAGTTATCTGCTAATCACTTTTCCCCTAAGAAGATTTTTACAGGTTTTTTACTACTAAAACCGTTCAAGGTAGCGTACCATATAGTGTGACATAGATTTATTAAAATATTCCACTGATTCCGTAATTTTATTTGTTTTTAGTAAAATTTTAGTATGTAATTACCATATTTATATGTCTGATAACAAAACAAGTCCCAGTTGATATTCCATGAGATTCTGTTTTTACAAACAAAAACCTAATGAAATACCGAAAATTTTTTAGTAGTTACTGAATCATTGTTCATTTAACAAGAAATCAGATCAAATCTAAAATAAAAAAAACAGATTTATTAACATAAAACAAAAATCTAAAATGGAGCGAGAGAAGGTTGTCCCAAAAAGTTATCCATCCAATGTATTAAATAAAAATTGGAGTCAGAGACCGTGTTACTTTAAAAAGAATAGTGAGAAATTTCTGAAAGCCGTCAATGAAATGGAAGTCAGAGACGATGATGTCTGGTTAATTACATTACCCAAATGTGGTACCACTTGGATGCAGGAGCTGGTATGGTTGGTTTTAAATAATTTTGACTTCGAGAGTGCAAAACAAGAACATTTGGAGTTGAGATCACGATTTTTAGAGTAAATAATCAAAATTACTATATATATTATTTATTATGTTGGGCGAAAAGTATTCGGAGTTTTTTCTGTTGTCGGAAATTTTAAATGTGATGACTTTAAAACGATTAGTTACAACGAGTGGTTCTTGATTATTTGTTTGTCAAATGATTGATTTCATCTAAAAATGCCGAATACTTTTCGCCCAGCCCCACAAATGCTATTCTACTTTTATATATTACTAATAAATACCGCGTAAAGACATTGATTTCATATATATTTCTTTGTTTATTTATCACTTCACAATTAGATTCGATGAAGTATTATATGATGGTGAAGGCAGTATAATAAAATATAGTACAGAAATGAAATCTCCACGACTTGTGAAGTCACACTTACCACTACCTTTATTGCCATCACAACTTTGGACTAAAAGACCTAAAGTAATTTATTAAATTTAAATACTCATTAACATATTTTATTTGTATGTATTTTTTAGGTTATATACGTTTTTCGAAACCCTAAGGACGCCATCGTTTCATTTTATTATCATTTACGGAGATATAAAGAGACTTCTTTCTTGAATCTAACAGATTATGCTCAAGATTTTATCAATGAAGATATGTTAACACATCAACACTTCTTACATGTCACTGAGTTCTATGCCTTGAGAGAGGAACCTTGGATTTATTACACAAGTTATGAGCGTATGAAGTCTGATCTAAGATCTGTCATACAAGATGTTTGCCAATTTCTCAATAAAAATATTACAGAAACACAAATGCAGCAAATGTTACATCATTTATCTTTCGAAGAGATGAAAAGTACGTTGCACTTATAACATTTTTATCAGTCGATCTTATATCAAATTGTATTGTAAATAATTCTATTTAAATATTTTTGTTAAAAGATATAGTGTATAGTTCCCAATTGTCTAATAGATTTTATCTTAATGTGTTTTTTAACTATTTCAGTTTATAAAAAATGATAGAATAATAATAATAATTAATAAGATATATATACAAAATTCTTTGCAGATAATTCAAAAACAAACCATATATGGGAAGCGCAACAACTCTGTCGAATATTTAATAAAGAAATTGAAGATGTGAGGTAAAAATAAGAAATACAGCTTTGGCTCTGCAAAAGCTACGATATCACTCACATTACAAACTCATTAGTTACTATTAATGTAGTATTATTTAATTTAACCATATTTTCAGATTTCAGATTTACAAGCTTAGATGTACTAATTCAAGTTCTGTTCAAGTTCATACGGAAACTTGTATTCCATTACGCCAAAACTGAAAGACTGACTTGTTGACTGACATCTAGATAGGTAGACAGAAACTTATGGCTTAAATGCAAACCCAGTCATTACAGTATTACTTAAGACATTTGCTGATTTAAGTATAATCTCAAGGAAGTCCCATTTCGACCAATATGTATCTATATAGCTGAGACTACCGAAGGTAGCACAACCAAAAACCTAATTTAGCATATGTGCATGTCGTCTGAAAAGTTGAATGCAGCTAACTGTTTTGCAAAGCATATTATAAAAAAAATGGAATGTTCAAAATCAGGTAAAAAAAAAACTAACTAACTGATACGTACAAAAAAATAAATTGACATTGAATGATGACGATGACCAAATACCTATAAAGACTGAGTATGGAAGAAAGAGATATCAACACGCTAAAGGCACACAATAACTTAGGATTCCGATACTTCACTCTTACTTAAAAATAAGAGAAAAGAAATTAGTGTATAGACATATAGATAAATAGACAAATATATAGATAGACTGAAACACTAATGAAAACACACACAGAACTAGAGAAACAAATAGACAATAGGGAGTGGAGTGGCATATGATCAAATAAGTAGACAGAAGTGCAGACATGAAGACTGAAAATACTAAATTTATCCATCTTGACATACCCATCAAGAACCTATACGCTTTGTTAAACCTTTCCGTCACCACATTATAACATGATTTTTTTATTTTAATAATTCTTTTTTTAGTTTTATCCGTAAAGGAAAAATTGGTGGTTATAAGGACGATTTAACTGATGAAGACATAAATAAAATTGATAATTGGATGAATAATGAACTTCAGTCTCACAATGTTGGTTTGGATGATTTGCTGCTTCAGAAATAATAAAATAATTAATAATTATTATAAAAAAGTCTTTATATGTCCATATAAGAGAACTATATTATTAAAATTATTGCTTGCCACTTCTTCTCTTCTTACTTAGTGCATAACTGTCATAATAATCAGTGGATTTCAATAATTTAAACTTCCCTATTCATAGTAACATCAATAGACTAATAAAATTTTAAAATAAGATATGCATTTCTCATTAAATAGTAAACTATCATTTAAAATATCTGTACTAAATATCTGTTCAAATTATTATCGATGCTTTGAAATTATTTCAGCATAATGAATATGATTTTTAAGGTTTCGGGTTTTGAAGTTGTAAATTTCCAACATTGATTACGGTACCAAAGGAAAGTAATAGATCGCGCCATCTAGTGACAATTTGTACATGCAATTTCTTCATTGGGTATAGAGACGACGTCCACTTGTTGTCAATGTTTTTTATATAAATAAAGAAATACTAAAAGCAGTTCCATATTGATCACAATCCGTTGGTTATAGGGGTGCCACTCGGTAATCGGAACCATATGAAAAACTGTGTAAACGTAAACTTTCAGTAATTCACTAAACAGATTGTTTTGTCATTAAAACAACTAAGAAAAGCTGTTTTATTTGAGGTGGTTTAGATAATACAAAACTCAGTAGTGATAATAAACCTCATTGGTCTGTGGCTGTTCTCCTTTATTTACCATTTGTAAAGAGATAAGAACAACAAATAAACAAAGCTTTTACTAACAAAAATGCAATGCAATACTGAAAATAATTTAGTAACTGTGGAGTTGTTGTTGATTTAACACATAACGAAATCTTTCAATATTAAATTAAAAATAAATAAATATTTTATAAAATACAAACCATAAAATGCGAGAGGAAGTGGTTGTGCCAAAAAGTTATCCAACAAATCTTTTAAATAAAGATTGGAGCAAGAGACCCTGCTATTTTGAAAAAAATGGCGAAAAATTTCTAAACGAAGTGCATGACATGGAAGTCAGAGATGATGATGTCTGGTTAATCACATTACCCAAATGTGGTACAACTTGGATGCAAGAACTGACATGGTTGGTTTTAAATGACTTCAATTTTGAGATCGCAAAACAAGAATATTTAGAATTGAGGTCACCGTTTTTAGAGTAAATATAATTCATATATATATAACAAAATATAATATGTATATTAAATTCCACTCAACTAGATTTGAAATTGATTTATATGACGGTGAAGGTAGTATATTAAAAAATGTTACTAAACTAAAATCTCCACGACTTTTAAAGACACATATGCCTTTACCTTTATTACCACCTCAAGTATGGACCAAAAAGCCTAAAGTAAAAAAATTTATTTCAAACAAAAACTATTTTTAATTTTACTATACACTCTTTATAGGTTATATATGTATTTCGGAACCCCAAAGATTCCATAGTTTCGCAGTATTATCATGTTCGCAGGTATGGCGGCGCTTCAGATGTAACTCCAACGGAATTTGCACAGAATTTTATTAATGATGAAATGTCAACCCACCAACACTTCTTACATGTCACTGAGTTCTATGCGTTGAGAAAGGAACCCTGGATTTATTACACAAGCTATGAGCGTATGAAGTCTGATCTACGATCTGTCATACAAGATGTTTGTAAATTTCTGAATAAAAATATAACTGAAGCTCAAATGCAGCAAATGTTACATCATTTATCTTTCGAAGAGATGAAAAGTACGTTGCACTCATGAAAACTTTATCAATGTTTTTCAATGCAAATTGTGTTTTATAAAGTATTGTTATCTTGTGTTATTCTCATGAGAAAAAAAATACTTCATATATAAAATTATTTTATTACTTATTAAATAACAAATTAAAGTTAAGTACCAAAAACATATATGATTTATATACAATAGTAAAAATTTTTAACAATTTTACCTACTATGTCTTTAAAAATAGATAATTCAAGAACCAATCATATATGGGAAGCAGAACAAGTACGTCGTATATACAACAAAAAAACTGAAGACATTAGGTAATCTATCATTATATTCATTAAATACTGTAATAAAAGTATATAATAATTATTCTTTAAGTTTCGTACGTAAAGGTAAAGTTGGAGGTTATAAAGACGATTTAACTCCAGAAGTGATTGATAAAATCGATGTTTGGATTAATGATGAACTTAAACCACATAATGTCACTTTAAATGATTTGTTATTACAAAATAATGAAGAGAAAGATAATTAATAAATAAATTTATAAAAATATGTTGTTTTATATAAAAAAAGAGCTATAAGATATATTGAAGTTATGTTTTAGAAATAATGCGTATTTTTATATGAAGCTCTATTCACATCGGACAGCTCAATAAGCATAGCGGTGAGATATTAGTATTACATACAGAATATGTATACAAATCCCATTAAGTTTTGGAGCAAAAATATGCCTTAAAAAGTCTTTAAAAAAAGAGTGGAATAAAACTTCAACTACACCTAAAATTCGCAAAAAAACATCTATTACAAAAATATTTATATGGAGTTTTTACTATATCTAGTATTTGGTTTTAACTATATCTGGCATCGCTATATAAGTTTATATATTTTTAAAAAAATTGTATATTAAAAACAACCTATTACTTTGGATAATTTTAACCTCAGAGTCAGCCCACTTAAATAATTCTCAATGAAATAGAAAATAATAGAGTATGCACACTTAAGTCTTAAATAAAAGTAACCTAATAATCTGGTGAAAGGTACCATAGATATGTTAAAGATAATTGCAAAAATATTTTGATTTAAACTTTTTAACATATTCTTCACCCATAGAAAACATTAGACGATGGCTTTTTCTTTACAATATGTAGACAACATCTACCCTAAAATCTACTTATCCACAACACCCATATCACAATGTTGGTTTATATACGTTGTATGCAATTTCACCAAATTATTTAAGTAGTGAAAAACACATTATCAATGAATGAAACATAACTGATCATTATCCGATAAAGCAATATATTTTCATTTTGGACTCAATATATAGATTCGATACAATTTCTTATGTAATTAGGCAGTAAATATTGATGGCACTGTTGTATATGAGAAACAATCACCTAGGTAGACAACTCATATCAGATGAAAAAACAGAACTCTGTGATATAGGTTAGCCCGCGAGCCTATCTGGTCTGATATGCGATGATCTAAGTATCATGCAAATTGAAATTCCTTAGTGAGGGACCTTACCTTACTGATGTATAGATGACCTTATAAAGAAAACCGATTTTGTTAAAATCGTTTTTAGTTTGGATTCTAGTTTGTTCATAAACTGGACCTCATAAAGTATACCGATTTTGTTAAAATCCTGTTTACTTCGGAATCCAGTTTATTATCCTTTTTAGTTTGAACTTCAGTTTGTTCATAAACTGGACCTCATAAATAATACCGATTTTATTAATATCCAGTTTATATATATACCTCACCACATTAAGAATTGGTTCAATAGAAACAACAAATTTGAGCTTATAATTAATATTTATTTATTTTTAAATTTTAGTATAAAAAACTATAAAACATACAAAAAAATTTGTTTCCAATATATTTTTAACAAAAAAAAATTTAACAAAAATATGCGCATATTTTTATTAGATTTTTGATATTAAAGAATTAAATTGTTAGCAGTCCATTGTATCGGGAATATTTGTTTAAGCAGTAGATGTTTCTATTTTCTTAGCGTTATCCTCTTTTGAAGATGGGCCAGTTTGAGAAATTGGTACAACACGTTCAGTATTTGGTGGTGGCAATTTTTTCATTGGCGCTGTTACAGTCAAAAGCCCATCTGAAGATAAAGATGAGCTCACTGAATCGGGATTGACATCACCTTCAAGAAAAATATAAATATAATTATTTGAACTTTACTAATTATATACTATTTTCTCAACATACTTGGCAACATATAACGTCTGGAGAATTGTCTAGAAACGTAACCATGTTCATCTTGTTTTTCTTCGTGTTTACCCTCAACGAGTACAAATTTATCGGTGACCTTAACACTGATCTCATTAGGGGAGAATTGCTGTACATCCAAAATAACTTCGAATTTCTCGTTATCGATATTCAAAGTTGAGCCAGATTCTTGCTTCTGCAAGCTAGTTGGCGAACGTGACCATGGGCGCAAATAACCTGAACGCAACATCGTTGGACGTGAACTCCAAACAGAAGACAGCAAATCATCGCGTCTAAATAAACAATTTTTTTTGTATTTTTATAAAACGTTTTCACTTGGTTAAAATTAAATACTGTTGGTTATGGAGAACTTACTTTAGTCCTGTGCCAAAATGTTGGTCAAACAGGCGCGATGAGCGCATTGGAAAATCAAGTTCATCCCACCAATCACGGAACATTAGAGGTACAACTGACATCTACACACGGGTTATAAAAAGGGATTACCAGATGGAATACGATTGTGATATGGAAAAAAAATCACACTAAATGGTAATTAACAAAATCACCAAAAAATGTTTTAAATATCAATTAATTTTTTTTGTTTATATTTTATTAATCAAATATCACTTTTAACTAATCTTATGATTTCCAAAAATTATTAATCCACTGCGTACCTTTTAGGTTCTTTAGATTTTTCTCAAATGCACTGAAATTTGACTTTTCTTGTTGGGTTTTAGCGCGTGTTTTCACGATCGCGTTTGAAAATCTTTTGACTGAATTTTGAATTTTCACAGCAATTTTATATTGAAAATTATTGTTTGTGTTTTTCTAATTTAGTGCTAAAAATATTAAACGAAACTCATTTTTTCTAAATTTAGGCGCGCATCACTTCTCCTCAACGTTGGTGTTGGAAAATTGTAGAAGGAAAATTCTATCATCGAAAACAAAAATTTTCTGTTTATGTGCAAAATATTTTTTTAAAAAAAAATGTATTTTATTCGTCATTTGTGTATAAATATGAGTTTGACAATAAATTAATAATTAAATTAAAAACATTAGCTCTTGTAAATTTTGCTAAATTAATTTTTTATACCCAACGAGCAGGTTAAGCACCTGCATGGTTCTTATAATTTTCTTGACACTCCTAAATAATTCATTTAAATCATTAATTAAATTAATAATTTAATTAATAATCTATCTATATATATAAAAGAAAGATGTGTTTTTGTTACACCACTTATAACTCAAGAACGGCTGAACCGATTTAGCTGAAAATTGGCAGGGAGGTAGTTTAAGGCCAGGAGAAGGATATAGGCTGAACCGATTTAGCTGAAAATTGGCAGGGAGGTAGTTTAAGGCCAGGAGAAGGACATAGGATACCTGTTTATCCCGTTCACGACAAAGTAGGTTTTGAAATTATCAAATTTTTGATAGAAAATATTTTATCGGAATTTTCGAATAGCAAAGAAAGAAATAAAGTACAAACACAAAAATTTATTTTTAATTTTATTGAAGTTCGGCTGACCATACAACGCTGTTTCGAGTATTGCCAAGTACTCTTCATCAGTGGTCTTTGGACTAATCGAATTTTTATTTAATTAGTTTATAGTCCGTATATAATTTGTTTAGACTGCAAATGCCAGGCTTAGAACTCGTGCCTGTCAAATTAGAAGCGATGACTAATCGTGTTATCCACAAGAAGTCAAGGCTGCACAAACTTTCAATGCTCAAGTTCCAGGTTTTATTGTCACTTATTTTTATTTAATTAGTGACAACAACCAAAGCACTTGCCGTGCTTTAAATTAGAACGAGCTTAAAAACTACAGCTTTATTTTGGAAACACAAGTTCAACGAATTGAAAGTTTAACTTTTTGGGTTTGCTAATTCTTTATTTCTTTTCAAAGCTACTCTTTTTGTAGAGACATTTTGTAATGCATATTTTTTACTTACTATATGTAAAGCGACCATTCTGGTGCTTTTACAAAGAAGCTATGCTATGTTATTCTAAAAATTCCTCTAAAATTTAATAAAGCTTCTT